AGTCATTACCTTCACGGAGAAATAAAATTAAAAAAAAAAAAATAGCTTAAATTTTAGGCCGCTAGACCACCGGGTCCCCTTAAGAAAGTTCAATTAATCACCAAAAAATTCAACGTGATGAAAAAAAATTTAAATTTATGATTTTATAAAAGTCCAATGCTCATTTTTAAGCCCCCAAAAAACAAAAGTTTTTTAATCTTCTATTGTTTATATTTCTTGTCAAAAATTTTTTATCAATTAGCAAATTTGGATAGAGCTATTACATGAAACTTTGACTCATCGATCTATATATGTCATATTTCAATGGAATTTTTAAAAATATAAGTTACTAACGTTTTAAATAAATAATTTTCCTTTTATAACCATATAGTAGTTGTGTAAATAAACCACGAAACGAAAATACGATGCTGACAACCGGGACTTAACGACTGTGCTGTGTTCTATGATTCATATTAGTTTCAGGTACTTTCCACTTTCCCACTCGTTACTGTTCTACTGCACATATTAGTTCCAACAGTACAAAAGTCGAAACTTTATTTCTTGTGCGAATCTTTAATTTTCAATTATTTGAACAAAGCACCAATTAAATTTATTTAATCATTTCTCAAAAAAAAATGTTTGTTAAAATTTTTAAGTTTTTAAATTATACAATAATTAAATTTATTGAATTTATTTTTTGCAACCCTGTATTTGAAATTGAAATTTTTTGAGCTTTTCTATCCTTGACAAATTAAGTATAAAAAACAATACTATTTACTGTAAGATAAAATTCTTATAATTTGAATGACAATACGGACTCGTTCAAGCTCTTGGCAGATCTTAGGAAGAGTCTTATACTAAAAACTAAAAGTGTCTACATTCTCTCTAAAGAATATCTATAAGAAAATAATGCAAGGCATACTAATGTAAGCTCAGCCCAGCTGAAAGTTTAATAAACTTGAATAAGCACCTAAAGATATCTGAATATTTTCGAAGGTACTTATTTGGTAAAATAATTTATTTTATGATATGAAAGTATGGTCTACGCCAAGATTTTTTTCATTCCTAAAATAATATAGAGTCTTCAATGAAAAAAAAAAATGACATTTTATAGCATGTATGGATTAAATAATCAACAATAATAAATATTTAATCAGTTTGTTTATTCGTAATAATATTATTTTTATATAATATTCTATCAATATATAATAATATAGTGTATTTATGTTCAATATGTATAATATATTATCTACATTTATAATCCCTATTTAAAGGCATCTCCAACCAGACTTCAGATTTACTTTTTTTAAAATATCTTATTTATTCCATAAAAATACAGGGGGTTTTCACACACCTTTTAGTCAGAATCAATTCGCTCTGTCGATTCCTATTATAAATGTCTATGAATTTTGCTTTATTTCTTAATAAATTACGTTTATCAATTATTTGTATCAACAGAATAAAAAAAGTATTATGAAATCTTAATGAAAATAAAATTATTAATGCACATTTATCATAGAAACTCATACAAATAAGTTTTTTTTTTTTTTTTTTTTTTGTTACAGAACAATTTTTTTATTTTATAATTATCTTTAATTAATTTTCTTATTTTTCATTAATACTGCTTTTGTCACTCGACATTAGTTTGTTCAAAAAATTTCTTTTTTGTGATAATGAAATTTATTAAAGTACTTGATAAAATTTATAAAATAAAAAAAAATAAAGTGTTTTTCTTTATAGACAAAGCGAATAATATCTTCTTTATAAGTGCACAATCTTATTTTACAAAAGGAATAATCATTTCATGTATTCTTTTTTTTTATTTTTTTTTAATATAAACGAATAATAAAAGTATACTTTCTAAACGTAGTAGGTAAATATTGGTAACTTTGACTCACGCATTGACAATTTATTTATGCTAACATATTTTATAGCAGAAACACATTTCTATATGCCTGTCGTTCCTGGATTAACCATTTGTATTACCATTATTGTATTTATTAATGTCCTTCAATTTTTTTTTAATAATATAAATATATTAAAAATATATATTTATTCACATAAAGAAAATACATTTGATTAATTTAAAAATTTTTTTTTATTATCATCATCAATAATTCTAATTTTTGTTAAAAAAATATAAAATTTATCGCTTTAAAAGCTTTAATTAAAAATTATAAAATATAGACGAAAGTATTTAAAATAGGACTAGTACTTTCAACATAATTATTTTATCATTTATTGAATTGTTGTACAATATGCACAAGGTTAATCCCAGAAACAAAAGTCATACTTTCCTTTAGACTCTCACTCTCACTTAAATATTAAAGGTTGGGCATAATAATACTCTCGGTAGTATAATGCCCTAAGTCTTGCTGATCCAACGCTTTAGCCAACCTTGTGAAAGGCTGCTGTACTCCCAGACACCTTTGTACATATTTATAATATACACATAAGACAGCCCAATGTGTTTTTTTTTTTATTTAATTTAATTTTATTATTAATGTTATCTAATCATAATTATTATAATAATCGTTATTATTAGTATTATTATTATTATAATTATTATTATTCTTATCATTATCAATAATAGTATAAATATAATTACTATTATTTACCATTGTTATTTAAAATTTATTTTTATGTATTTACAGAATTAGATAAAAAGAAATAACGAAATAAAGCCAATTTTAAACAAAAAATAAAATAAAATAATAAGATAAATAATTATTTTAAAATCAACAATTAAAATATTGAGTACTGACTAATGAACTATTTACAATTAATATTATCACTACCGACAATTATTTTAAGAAAAAAAAAATATATGAATGAAAAGAAAATTTTTTAAAAATTTTACAGTAAAACATATATTAAATTATTATAAAATTTAATTTTTAAATTTACACCTCATACCGACCGTCCAAATGAACACGAGGGTACGGCGATATCGGGTAATACAGTAGCCCTTACTGCACTCAAAAATTTCGAATAATATACATCATTTTTTTTTTCTTTTTCTTTTTTTTTTTTTTTTTTCTTTAACAGCATTATAAAGTATATTCCATTGAATACTTAAGTCTTATAAAATGGACAAGTATCCCTTGGGTTCATGAGCCAAAGGTTATATGTGTGTAAGTGTGTATGTGAATAATTAAAAAATTTTTCTTTTATCAATGTATGCTTTTAAATTTAAACAAAGTAAACATAACGAATTTTTATATTTATTCATTTTTCTTTCAATTTTTTATCAATAAATAATAACAATTTTGTTTTATAATTAAAAATTTTTAATTTTATCAACATTTGTTTTATTAAAAGTTTTGATATCTAATTTCATTTTGTTTAAAAATTTCCAATTACATCAACAACATCTTAAATAATTGTTGATTATTATTTATTGTCAAAAATTTGTTGATGTCAGTATTCATATAATGATTGATCCAATTATTTAATATGTTTACAAATGTATTATATCTTTCATTTCGAATTACACTTAGGTTTTAAACCAATTGATATATTTTAAGTTTTATTACATCTAATATTTATTATTTAATATAACTTTTTATAGAATTTTACTTAAAACGATATAATTATTAATAAATTATTCTAACAATCCACAATTGGATATCTTTAAAATAACTGGAATATAATTTAAATTTGTTATTTGCATTATTTTAGTTACATTTCTTATAAATGTAATAAAAATTTTCTATAAAAGCTATAAATTAATTTATTGATTTTTAGACTGAAAATGTTTAATTTTAACAGATAGTATTAAATATTTGTTATGTCTATAATTAACCAAATTTTATATTATTATATTAAAATTGTTTATTAGTATTATATTAACTAATAATTTACCTGTTCATATTTTCTAAAGCATACAGTGATAAAAATAAATTCTTCGTTTTATGCATTAATCTCTACGGGCAAGATAAAATGAATGAAACAATTAAAAAACAAAAAAAATATACATTCTTTTAAAAAACACTTGCTAATAATTTACGTAAGAAGCAATATAATATTGAATTATGATTAACTAGCATGAGCCGTATTTTGAACTTGATTTTTTTTTTTTAATTTACTGTTAATAGTTATTATTATTATTATTATTATAATAATTACAATATCTCGTACCTTAATTTATTGAGCCAATCGGAGGAGGCTAAGTGTGTGCGCACTCTTAAGAAATTAATTTATCTATTTGTGTACTTTCACGTACCGACGTGCAGTCTTTAGAGAATCGAATTTATGACAAAATGTCATTTATGATTTTTTTAAGGCTCTGTATTAAAAATTTATTATTTTTAAATAATTATATTCTATAATAATTTTTTTAACCAAAAAGTATTAACAATATTTCAATAAAAAAATGCTGTGTTGGATAATACGCGATATCAAAAAATGTTTTTGTTTTTTGTTAGAAGTCAAAAATAATTTTGTTTGTTTCCATATAAAAATAAAAAAAAAATGTTAAAAGCATTATTAAAGAAATAGATCAAAATGCAATAATGATTGTATTTTTTTTTTCTTTTTCATTTATGAATGAATCGCGTGCCATTTATTGATATATCATATGTATACATCCAAGTGTGAGTTGATCACGTCGGTTAGCCGATTAATTGAATTTTTACGGCGAAAAAGTGATCTGCGTTGGGCGTACGAGAGTCTTATTATTTTATCGATTGGATTATGCAACGTGAACACACAATGACAATAATTGCGCGACTGCGTATAGTCTTTTTAGTTTCGATATAAAAGTTCAGTTCTTGTCAATTGTTTTGTTTGCCTTTTTTTTTTTTTTAATTCCGTTTCGACAAATTATTCACTATTTGTCTTAATTTTTAATTCTTCATTCGTACTGTTTTTTTCTGTTACTCAGTAGTGTAGTTTTCTTCGATGTCCTAATGTTTCTATACAATTTTCATTTTGAAAATTATAAAATAAACATTGTACATATGTCGGGTTTTATATGTGTTCAAATACACCCAGCATAATTACCATTTATTTTCTTTTTACTATCTTTGAATCGCTGAATTTAATAAAAAAGGAACGTAAAACATTTTACTTTCGAGTAGCAATGTAGCTGCTGATTGCACCTAAAATCATAAAAAATAAATAATTTAGTTTCAATTTATTTTTTATTTTTTATACATTCGAAAAATCGGCAAGGAACAATTTACCGTTTCGATAAAATAAACGATCAAAAATAATATCTTACTTCGGGCAATCGATGGAGAAGATCATGGAAACGTCCAGGTTGTTGAGGTGCGCTGTGTTCAACAAAACTCCTCAAACAGGTCATGTACCGATCTTGAATTTGTTCTAATTCCGGCGTACTACCTCGAGCTAGTTATAAAAAAAAAAATATTATTAATATTTAACATAATAGACTTTAATACCATTGATAATAATGACACTTACATTTAGTATCTTTGTTAGCAAAAAATCATGAAAATATTTTTATAAAATTTTTTTATGACCAATATTTTTTTGAAAGTACTTGCATTTAAAAATGACAAAAAAAAACTACTATATTTACCTTGTGATAACATGGTGATGACTTTCAAACAAACGTACTCTTCCATCCGTAATTTAACCCGTCGAAACATAAGTGTAACGTAAGTTATTTTTTCTACCATGAGGCCGACGTCTTGCCTCAATTGGTCCATGGTTATGGTTCGTCCCATCATACTCGTTAGGCACGTTTGTAGTGTATACATGTTATTTGATACCTAAATAATGTGAATATTTATTTTTAGTTTTTAACGGTGGAATAAATTTAGTTTTACTAATAATTTAAAAAAAAATTACCTCTTGCACAAAGTCTGCACTTGTACCGTCCGGCCCAACATTTGAAAACTTTTGCTGACCATGCATTGCTTGATACGCCGAAGTCGTTAAAACTAACAACTCATGCCACTTATGTGTAAGAAGTCTCGTGTGAACTTCAACCGGCAGTTCAAGGTAAAACGGCAATCTCTTGGTCCACTGCACCAACTTGTAAACTATACTGTCTCCTATTTGACACAGTTTTTCACTTAAGTCTGATTTGTGGTCAAGCAGTTCATCCAAGTTCTGAAGTAAAAAAAAATAAAATTGTAAAATTAACTTCAATTCAATAGATAAAAAAAAATAATATAAAAACATAAATTCGTTAAAATATTACCCTTAATGTTGCGATATCTTGGAATTCGTCACAGTCTATAAGTGTTTGTATCATGGCGAGTGTTGCATCCAATGGGAAAGCACGATCCCTCGAGCTGCTTACAGTATTGTCTAGCCTTTGCCGTAAATGTACGACCTAAATGACAAAAACAAAATACAATCATAAAATAATAATGATAATTGTAATGTGAATAATACAATAGCTAGGATAATCGTGAGTCGGGTGGGAATGAAAGAAAAAAGGATATTTTTATTGCGAGACTACCAGTGAAAGTGGATGCCCACGTTTGCGTGTGATTATCCAAGAAACATTAAACAATGTTTCACAACCGGGTGATGTAGACAAGACTAGTAGACGAGTTTCTGGGCAAATTTTAAGACCAACTTACTTCCTACGTTAAATCTTAAACGTGAGGCCTTTCACTGACCTTTCTGAGGCTGATACCTAGGTCGTAGCTATTCATGACTCTGATTCAGTCTTGGTATAAGTGCATGACTCGAAGTCTCGTATGAACGTGAGCTTTAAGTAGCCAGGGAAAGTTGTGACCGTCGCGGCACTTTGAACAAGCCAAACACCGTTTAGTTTATATCAAGTATTCACTAGTATGGTAATGGTGACTCGTACCAAAGTACCAGCAAAGCAGAAACAGAGAGAGAGAGAGAGAAATATAAAATGAGAGGAGGAGGTCAGTGTCCCCTTGTGCAAACTTTCACGAGTTACGAAAGACTTAGAGAACTGCCCGTCCTTGGCACCGGTTGCCGCTGATTTTCTATTGTCCCTGACGTTGTTTTTCCAACTTTATATCTACGTTTTTCATTCCACTTTATATTGTTTAAACTATTGCTTTAAATGTAAATACGTCAACTGTTAGATATTTATTACGCCGATGATCGATGACGAATGCTCCCTGTTTGTGAGTATGAGGGAAAGTGACCTCTTTAAATAAGAGACAAAAGTATGTGATCAGAACACAGATGTAGATGTTTTCACTTTTGGCAATGGCCTTTAACCAAATTCTCCACTCATCGTGTTCCTCTACTCTGACTTAACTACATATAATGTCGCAATATTCCACCCAATAAACAACAAAAATATAAAAACAAACGTAAGTATATATCTTCTTTAGCAATATGGATAAAACGAAAGTAATTAAAAAGTATTAAACACTTACTTCAGAGGGATTAGTAAGTGCTGTTTTTAGTATCGTCCCATTAACCAGATGCCCCGTATGCGAGGGATGGTTAGGATGACTTGGTGTTGGTTGTGAATTGTGTTGATCCGATGAAATTTTATGATGATGTAAAAATGATCCAGCAAGTTGAGCATGTTGCTGCTGTTGCTGTTGATGCTGTTGTTGCTGTTGTTGTTGCTGATGCTGCTGTTGTTGTTGTTGCTGTTGGCTATGATGAGCAGCAGCAGCCGCTGCAGCTGCAGCTGCAGCTGCCATATGCTTATCAAGCATCGTTGTTGCAGCCGCAGCAGCCATATGTTTATCTAACATTGATGTAGCAACATTTGTTCCCTTGTTACCAACTAATGATCCTGAACCATTTACACCACTATTAGAGTTATTGTTACCGCCTACACCACTTGATTTGTTCGTTTTTTTATGTTTCTTGTACTTGACCTAAATATTATTATTTTAATTATTATTAAATTAATAAAATAAATATATTATTATTAATAAAAAACATAAAATAAAATAATTCAAATCACCTTATAAAGGTTATAAACGGCTCCGGAATTTCTGCCACCAGGCATTCGATCTTCCCGGACTGCTTGAAGTACCATACCCTGTTCAATGCATTTTTTAAATCGACAATACTGACACCTATTTCTTTGAGTTTTTGTTATTTCACAACCACCTTCGGCTACACACGTGTAAACCCTTCTATTTTGCACTGTCCTTTTGAAGAATCCTTTACATCTATAAAATAAATAATTAATTTTAGTCTCTTTGAAAAAATTATGTAGCATTTCCAATAACTTAATTTACACTTTAACAAAAACTACTAACCCTTCGCATGTGATGATACCATAATGTAATCCAGTGGCTTTGTCTTCACAAATCATGCAGATCATAGGTGTTTCGTCTTCTTCATGCTCTTGAGAAGGTAACGTTGCAGTAGGTGTAGCAAGTGATTGACTGTGCATTGACTGCGTTACTGCTTCAGATTTAACAGCAGCACCATTTCTAACCCAGGGCTGATTCGAGCCAGATGCTGTTAGATTAAGTGCCTGCAGCTGTTGCGCAGCAGGAAGTTGACTTAAATCCCCGGCCCATAACCTCTCCATGTTAAGTGGTGGTCCAGAGGAATACGAAACACAAGGCGGTTTACCCCGCGACTCTTGTCCGAGATTCAGCAGCAACTGAGCCGCTGATTCTTCGGATGATGAACAAGATGCGGACGATGCTGTCGTCGTCCAAGAAGCTGCAGGTGGTGGAACGGGTTCCAAGGCAGGTGCTGACCAAATCATTGTTCTAACACCGCCAACCTCACCCATTATCACGGTGGGAGGAGGTCGAGGAGCTGAGGGGGCTGGTCTTTGGGCTGGTGGCTTCATACCTTCGGCTGTAAATATAATAATAATACTTTTACATATCAATTTGTCAGTTACTCATCAGTATAAGTAATAATCTGATTATGAATAATACTTACACGCAGATAATGAAGATGTTGTATTGTTAGAATTAGTACCTTGATTATTTCCGACATTGCCAGTAGATCCAAGTCCATTTCCCGCCGGACTGCCAGTACTAGTGGGATTCCCAGTGAGATTTTGTCCGTACCCAACACTGCTGATAACTCCATTGAGCAGTCTCTGAGCAGCAAAACCCTGGACTCCGGAATTCTGGGACCAAAATTGATGGTGAGCAAGGAGATGAGCTGGAACTGAAGGAGCTCGTGACCTCGGTGGTGTTGGTGGCTGCTGTTGAGAACTGTGAGACGAATTACTACTCGGACTGGGTGCTTGGCTAATGTTGTACTGGGAGGATGGACTAGGTTGACTCGAGATATCAACTCGAGAATTTCTATCAGTTCCTCCTCCCCCGCCTCCACCGTCAAACACTGAGTTGTCCGAGTCTAATTTCGTTTGACCTGAAGACAATTCACCGGCTCGTTCTGGGGTCTGGCATCTGCTGCCGGGTTGTTGTTCTTCTTGGCTCATTGGGGTTGTGGATACCGCATGACTCGTTTCAACGCACGGCGAAAGTGGTGTTGGGGTATGGGCTCTACTTTCTTCATTTATTCTCGTTGAGCTCATCACTGGCTCGGGGAACACCGAATCTGGTGATGCAGTCTCTCGTAGATTATCGTGCTGATGATAAGAAAGATTCGTCCCGCTCATCACCACACCTCCGGAACTACGCTGCCCGGGGCTTCGAGGACTGGGACTACCTCGAAGAAACTCGCTCTTTACTTTGACCACAGGACAGCCCGGCGAGCTGGGCATATTTACATCTGGTGATGAGGTCGACGTATCCGCAATACTTTCCCCTGGAGCAGGAAAGGTTATGGGTGAAGGTGCATCCGCTGGCTGGATCCCAAGTGGTGATCCTGCTGATCCAAACGATACTGGCGAGTCTGAGAAAAGATTTTTTACATTTCTTTCTCTTCGATTTTATTTTTAATAAATATCGCAAATATCGCTGTAATCAGCATTTATATTAATATCTATTACAATATACTTTTATTCAATATAACGACGGTCTAATTAGCAATTGGTCTAACTCCTTATTTTTTAGAGGGTGATTTTTTAACATTTTCATGTAGTAATAGTCCAATTATAAATTATTTGAACGATCCTAACGAAAATATTATACCGCTATTAAATATTAAATGGTTTTTTAAAGTGATAATTAATTTCAAACTAATTGTATTTTCGTACAAATGGAAGATTCTCTAAAATGGAGTTAGACAATTTGTTAACTAGAACGTCGATAAGCATGTTGATAGGAAATTCAGTTTTTTTTTTTTCAATAGTCGATCTAATTTTTTAGTTTATTATTTTTCTTTGCTAGATTATCTTATTAACTGAAACAAATGTTAAGTTTTTAAAGAAATAAAATTTAATATTGATTTTTACGCAGTGAAAGTAATGATTAATGATATTTGTCCCACCAGATGTATTTTCTAACATTTTTTTTTATTTTTACAGATTATTTAAATAACTTAGGACCGAATGATAAAAATAAAATTTATAAACAGATTTCAAAGTTCGAGTTTTTGAAAATCTCAAACTTTGTTCTATATGGGACACCGAAAAGTTTCTAAGATATTATTAATTAATTAATAAGTAAAGTATTCGAAAATAATAATGAGTAAAAGTAATTATGAGACAGTAATAAGTGGCTTGAACCATTGCGTATTTTTTCCAACAGTTTTTACCTTCACTGATTAAAAATTAATGTTTAATTTAATTTATTTAAAAAAATCAGACTGACTATCGTAAAAATAGAATTTACCATCAATATATTCATATTCATATTATAATTTTTATTACCATTAAAAGAGATAGATTTGAAACCCAACAAAACTTGATATCGTTTTTCCCAAAATGATGGTGAATTTATTACATGATGATCGGTCCGTAGATAAGAATTGTGATAAAAAGGATAGCAGTCATATAAATAACGAAATCTAACAAATGGTTCTTCGTACAATTGAGGATACCGGAAATTAAAATCATACCGACAATTATATGGATTCAAAAATCCCCGATTCATTATCATATTTATAGTATTAAAATTCATCTTCAATTCTAATTACTCAATTATATCATATGACAATAATCAAGAAGAAAGATAAATTGATAAAAAAAAAATTGTAACTGCGCTGTTCATCAAATGTCCGACGTTCACGTGGTCTATAAAGATCAATGATTCCCAAGTATAGTGTCGTTGCACAATTATCGCCACGTTGTTACTAGCACTATATTGTTTATTCTTTTTGTTTACATCGCAATTCATCAATTTTATAATACTAGATATGTAATCATAAAAATAGTTTTTTTAATTTTTACCGCGAATGAGTACACAGAAAAAACTAAATAGTAAAATAAAAATTTACTTAAATTCTGGTTACTTTTTAATGCTTTAAATGGTACATCAGACTCCGAGACGTCATAACATTAAATATTACCAAACACAATGAAAAAAGTGTAGAAGTCAACTAAACGTTTATTATTTAATATCGAAAAAAGTAATTTGTAGTGGTTACTATAGTAAATAACGACTCTCACTTTTTAAAAAGAATCGTTTTAAACAGTAAAAAGCGCCAAGTCAATAATTATAGTATTGTTTTTACCGTTGCGTTTAAAATTGACTATTTTAGCTTGTAAATGATGATTTTGGTTAAATTAAAATGTAAAATTCTTACTACAGAAATTTAGTAACCTTTCTTGTTATTTTTACATTAAAATGATAAACATTGAAGATGAAATTATTAATTATTGTACTTTAACTTTTTGGACATTTACATAGCTTTTATTACTGTTTGAAATAGTATTTATTATCAACTGATTACTTTTGATTATGAATCCATTATTATTTAATATAATTTAGTTTTTTCCGTGTAAGAAAAATAATAATAAGCAAACAAAATAACAACATGAACGTGTAAGCGCGAATGACGACGCAGTCAAACTACCCCAGTTAACAGTACAGTGCATAGCTGGATTCAAACCGCGTGGGCAGTAGTGATTCCCCTTCTTAGTCAGCCCACGCACGTTGGAGTCTCCCACCTCGATGCCGTCTGTTTATTTCCCTGCATATTCATAAATTCAAAGCATCCCCAGTGAAATAGAAGGAACAACTGGCTTCAGCTTTTTTCTAAGTTGTTACTGCCATCGATTACATATCAAGTTTCTCGTTTGAGATGAAAGGTCAAAATTTCCGAGTATTTTCATCTCTTTTACTGGTTTATTTTTATTTTTTTCAATTTAATAAAAGATAAGTTTAAACCTTACCGTCGCTACTACATCGGGAGTCGACCTTTCTCCTTTTCAACTTGAGGTCTTGAAACAAGCTCATGTTGTCTAGCTCACACGGGCTGCTCGTAAGGGTCATAATTCCTAAAATCAAAAATTTAAAACAAAATTTTAGTCAATCCTACTTGTGATTTTTAATTTTAATTATATTTCAAATAAATTTTAGATACATTTTTTTAATTTATTTATTTGAACTAGAGAAATTTGTTTTTATAGTTTTTTTTTCAATTTTTAAATGTTTATTGGAAGTATAGACTCCACAATATTTCAAGTCATAAAAATAATATTTCAAATTTATTTTTAACAAGTACATATATATTTTTTTTTATTTTTCATTATAAATGGGATTAAGAAACAATCTTTTATAAAGGTCAATTTTTCGATTTAAAAATGTTTTTTAATTAATTTTTCTTTCACACTATTGGTATAAAATACTAGAAATCTTTAGGCTTGAGTAGACACAGTATGATAACGATTTTCGATTGACATAAAAATGAGTTAATTTTATTAATATGAAAACATAAAAGGGTTAAACACTGACTAATAAAAGTGTCTTTTTACAATTTTATCGAATAATTTGAAAAAAAAAAAAAAAAAAAATTACTCTTTTTCGACATTTTATTGTCAAAAATAGAGGGAACCTTACTTATAAATCATTACCAATTTTTTTTTAATAATAATAATTACTTGTTACAAAAAATCCTAAAAATTGCATATCACCTGTTTCACATTGTTTACAAGTGAATTGATTTATTTAACTTTTATTTGCATTGTATTGTCAGATATTATAATGAGAGTACGATATAACATTAATTACACATACTTTTTGTGTGGAAAAATTATTAAATCATTACAGTTATGCAATACAACTACAACTAAAATGTAAAAAAATTATTTTAAATTCATAAAGGAAATATGAATGCAATCTTTCAAAAATATTAACTTACTAATGATTTATTTAAATAACTATGTTTTAAAAATTAGCTTGAGTAGAAAGTTGAAAAATCTATAAGTGCAAATTTTCATAAATAAGTTTTCATAAAAATTGGAAAATGTCTGTTAAATTCAGTAGTATATCACAACATTATCGGATGTCAGTGGATTCCAATATCATTGAAAAAAAATTTTTTTTTTCTCATACAAATAACATAAAAACATCAAAATAATAGAAAAAAAAAAAAAATGATTAAATAAAATATGTCAGTGTCGTTTTTTGCAAGTACTCCCAATTCAACCCACAGTATAAATCGATTAGTATTATTTATATTATCTCATTATATTAATCGGGTATTTAAATTTAATGAGGAACAGAAAAACAGAGCAATGCCCGTATTATATACTACTAATATCTATATTTAATGTTAACGTCATTAATAAAACTGTTGAGTGTTTCGGTAATACTCGGGTCACATGTCTGGATGTGAGGATTGTGGCGGTTTGTATCGTTTTAATCGTCGTGGATATTCGGTAAGGCTCGGTAGTTTACGCGGGCTATTATACACCGGGAGCTAGTGTGTGGTGTGTAGTTAAGTCGGTGTCGGCGGAGACGTAGATGGTGCAGTGGGGTCCTTGCTCTCTGTGCCGTATGTGGGTCACCAGTCTCACACACGCTGCTATTCTTGCGTAACCAATGCATGCATGCATGCCACGCTCGCGCGCTTCTACTGGCTTGTCTCTTGTTGTTGTAACTGTCGTCGCTGTACTGTCGTTCGTTGATGAATTAAACTAGCATAAAACTCTAGTATATATAGATATTATTACTTTATTATATTCTATTCTTTCAGATGTTCGTACTTGGAAGAGAAGGTAAAGACCTTCCTTTCCTTTCTAAACAACTTAAATAATCGATTGTTTCACTTTTTTCCTTTTCCTTTTTATTCTATATATTATCTTAACGATCCTTGAGAGAATCTTTATCTAGAATTCTCACACGGCCAATGGTGAAAGTTGTTCTCCCACGATTCAGTTTTTTTTACAACTTTTATTTAATTATCTCATAAAAATTGCAACGAATTATTTAGATTTTATTCAACTTCCGTAATTGTTTTTTTTTTTTTTTTTTTTCATTTTCTTAACGAAAATAATTTTTCACAACAGTGATGTTATTTTCAGGAGAAGTATTGAGATTCAGTCGGGCGCAGTCAATAGTCAGTAGTAAAACCTATCGATGCTCAGACGTAAATAAAATCTTCACCCGTAAGATGAAAGAAAATAAAATGATATACAGTTAATATTAATGTATATTTATATATATTATGAAAAACGCAATTATTAACTGATGTGATCCCCTCTTTTATCACTCTTATAGTAGAGAGTGAGAATCGGACAGTGAGAGTTAGGCTTCGGTACATTGAACCTTTCAGTGAAAGTTTCTATTATACCACTGGCCTTACTTTACTTTTCCTACGGCAAGAATCGCTATGTTGTGTCATAAGTCACTAAGAGTAAGACGAGGAAGTTTTTCCTTTCCCACTTACAAACAATAATCACACTTAAAACTTTTAACTTATTTATTTATATATTTGAATTTTTATTATTAAAATTGAAATATTATTACAAAGCAGTATCGTATCACTGTTTAAAGATTATTCTATTAATTTTAGTCCATCATGTGAAAACAGATGTTAAAAAAATTTATGATCTGCAAATAAAGAGTTTTAAGTGAGAATTCAACAGCTTTACGTAACATTCACTTGAGTAGAGTGATAGCTGTATGATGTGTGTGGTAGTAATCAAATCATACAATTGAGTAACGGGTTAAAGACCTTTTATTAATAATTTTTTTATTTTATTTATTATAATTTACAATAAAATTATTCGGAATCATACCTAAATGTCGGCCCTGAAGAACACTCATCTTTGCGCACATTTTTGTCTTCCAATATTTAAAAATAAATAAAATACTTTTAAAACAAAAAAAAAAAAAAAAAAAAAAAAACAACAGATCTAAGTATGTATATCACAGTTTTGTTTCATTTATTTTTAATAGCAGCGATAGAGTATACTTTAATAATTATTATTTTTATAAATATTCACAAAATTACGGCAATTGCAATCTAGATAGTTAGAGGCCAAACGGATTCTCGAGCCAACTCCATCGGCTCGAGGACACATATAAAAGGCGGAGGCATCCTCGAAAACTTTACAGTGTATAAAATCACTGTGACACGAATTCGCTAGTGGAATAATAGTGTCAAATAAAACACAAATAAACTTATTACTCCAATGCATTCAATTATGGATGATATTTTTTAAAATTTGGCATTCATTATTATTATTATTTTTTATACACATATTAAAATTATGATTAAGTTCCATGGTTTTTAAATGAACAATTTTTTTTTTATGTTATCCTGATCCAACTTTCAGCAAGTTATTTTGGAGATATCACTGTATCTTTCGAGTGCAACGCACGGGCCTTTCCAACACAAATGTTTTTGGGACACTACGTGCGGACCACGCGCGATCGCGGTGCCTCACTAAAAGTACAGTCAGTAGTGGTGGTAACAGTGACCTCGATACCGTTGTCCCCCCAATCTCAAGAAGGTGCCCAATGCCAAAAACTCAACGCCGCCCAGAACTTTCACTCTTCTCCTTTTCTCCGTAATTTTCAGTTTTTAACTATTTTTAAATTTTTTTTTCCTCCATCCGTATGTATATATTTATCACGACACACACACACATGCACACATACATACATACCCATTTTAAAATACAACTCCCGATGTACGTTTTATTTTTTTTCTCCTCAACTTTTTAAAAATA